AACAGAAGAGCATGGTTTTCTAAACAGAGAAGGGCTGAGTAAAGCAGAAGCAAAAACAAAAACAAAAAAACTTAATGATTTCAAAGTTACTTTCCTTTGAAAAGCATGGACAGGGAGACAGAACTATAGGGAAATATCTGAGAAGTTGACATCAGATCGTGTCAGGTTACTTCTTCTAAGAATTGAAGCAGAGGAGACTTATTATCAAGTCAGGCCTGCTTGGGAAATTTGGCCATTATGTATCTAATCCTGATTTCTTGGAAGGTCAGATAAACAACTTGGTTTCAGCTTGGTGATGAGGTACTTCAGCATGAGTGACTCCATTTTGATGGTGTCCAGTGTCAAAATGAAAAGGTCGAAGTTTCCCTGGCAAACGGGAGTTGAAGGAATAAGAAGACTGAGGGAAGTGGTCATATTGGAGTAGATAATATTCTTTTTTAAAATCAAAAAGAAATTTTTTGTGTGTGTTTCTGGTGATTTAAACCAGAGGCCTCTATCACTGAGTTTCACCCTCAGTTCTTTTTAATTTTTATTTTTAGACAGGGTCTCACTAAATAGCCCAGGCTGGCCTTGAAATTGATGATCCTCCTGCTGCAGCCTCAGGAGTTGCTGGCATGGGCCATTGTACCCACACTGGTGTAGATGTATAATGAGAGACCAGAAGAGACCAGGGAACATGTGTAACCTGAGTCCTAGGCCAGAGGCCCAACTCTGGGGATCCCAATGAATCAGCTCTGGCCATTCATGCCAGAAACCAAAAGGAAAAAGTAATAGTGAAAGGTGGAAATTTGTTCAATATAGCTGTATTGGGAAGCCAAGGGGGATCAAGGGTTCTCAGTCCTGTCTTCCAGGTTGCTGCTGACATGAGCCCCAGAGTATAAAGGGCTCTGGAGCTACATAGAGTCAGGCAGTCTTGATTGAACTGTGGTCTAGTTCATCATCATCTCAGGATCACATCATTATCTCTCTCAGGATCATGCAGAGGCTTGTCAGCAGCAATAAGAAAGTTGCTGTTACCTTGGGTTGGTGGCCCATACCTGTATTCCAGCTGTTACTGAAAGCCCAGTCCTTGTCCCCAACAACAATCCAATAACAAGGACATGGTTTTAACAAAAAGGAAAACGAAGTTTATTGCTTTGCTATCAAAGGAGAAACACAGGGGACTCCTGTCCCAGAAGCTGTGATTGCGCCCATCACGGGGAACAGAAGGTGTTTAAAGAGGTGATTCAAAGACTTCATTCCACATGTTTTCTATGGGAGTTGTAATTCACTTGTTAATTTGGAAGATGGTCATTTCTGAGATCTGGCACCATCCTCAAAGTCTGAATTACTTCCTTCCTGTGGTGGGTGTTGTTCAAGAACAAGATGGCGAAGAAAAGTAATCTTATTTCCCTGAGCATAGGGAAGGAGAGAGATTAGAGAGGAGAAGGGAGGGAGGAAGAGAAAGAAGCATGTATTTTTAAAAATAAGTCTCAGTGGCATAGCAGCAAGGGCTATAGTCAAAGCATAAAGTGGACCACTATTACATAGCTACTGAGAAGGCAGAGGCAGGAGGATCACAAGTTCAAGGCCAGCCTTGGCAATTTGAATATAAGTTTTCATTTCTGTTGGGTAAATTCTTAGGGGTGGCATTGCTGAGTCATAAGATATCCATGTGTCAAACTTTATAGGAAATTGCCAAATTTGTCTTCCAAAACAACTATACCGTTTCTAATTTCTAAATACCAGTTGCTCCACATCCTTACCAACATTTGACACTGTCATTTGTTATTATTTTGTGTTGCAACCTAAATGACCGTTTACTTAGTTTCCCAAACTGGGCTGTAAGGGGATTGGAAAAAAAGACAGGCAAAAAAAATCTGGGACTTTGTAGATCAGCCAGCTTCTGATAGAAGAAGACTGAACTCGAGCAAACTCAGCACATTTATTATATATATAGGTTTAAACACCAAAAGGATTTATTGTGAGAATGCATCTTCAAGAAAAACAAAACCGAATTTGAGGGTAATACAACTTAATTAGGACTTATCAGCTTGCGCCCATAACTCTCTAACTCTGGACAGCAGACATTTGAACACAAGGCCATGAACTAATAAATTCCATGGCTGGCACAGAATCTCCCTTGAGCCGGGAAAACATCGATTGGGCAATCTTCAATTGGCACCTTTGCACTGAGAAACTCCCAAGCAAGGTGTCACCTCTGCCTTTGGGCAGTTCAGAAGACCCATGATTCATTTGCTACTCCTGACAATTTTGTTTTGTCTTTTCATTGTAGCCTGTCTAATAAATGAGCAGTGGTATCTCACTATGTCTCCAGTTTGTGTTTTCCTAATGAGTAAGATGTTGAGCCTATTTTCATGTCTTATTGGCCATTGGTAGGTCTTTGGTAAAGTGTTTGCTCCAGTCTTTTGCCTATTAAAAACAACAACAAAAAAGTGTTGTTTTCTTATTGAGTTTCAGGAGTTCTCTATACTGGATTCAGATCTATGTTTTGCAAATCTCTTCTTCCAATTCATGGCTTGTCATTTCATTGTCTTCAGAGCATCTTCCCAAGAGCAGTAGTCCTTAATTTTGTTTTTTTTTTCCTGAACTGGGGATTGAATCAGGGTGCTCTACCACTGAGTTTGTCCCCCAGCACTTTTTGTTGTTGTTCATTATACATGGAATTTCATGTCATCTGTGAAGAACAGTTTCATTACCTTCTTTCCAATCTGTGTGTCTTTATTGTTTTTTTTCTTTTTAGTGTTGAACAGGAATGATAGGAGTGGGCATCTCTGCCCTGGGATTCCTTTAGTATGGCAACCGCTTGACTAAAGGCTCTTTCAGGAAGACTGGTGGGCGGCATCAGTGGGGGAGGGGAAGCTGCAGACCCTGAGACAGCTGAACAGCCAGAGGAGCCTGTCTGCTCATCACCTCCCATCCTTTTAGTCAGCACCCACCACTGCCATATGGTTCCCTCCCCCCTGTGACTCCTGTGCTTGGCCCTTATTCCTCAGCCCTGTGGTCTGCCTGTCTCCTCCTCTCTCCAGCTTCTAGTATCATCATTGAGTTTGCCTGGCAGCCTTTTCCCTCCCTCCATCCTGTGGTTCTTCCAGCCCCAGGTCAGGCCATAGGCCATCGCCCTTCCTCCTCTGCTCAGAATGAGGCTCTCCAAGTCCAGGATCCCCAAGTCTCAAGGGACCTTAAGGTGGTCTGCCCTCTGTGATTCACCAATCAGGGCTCCTTTCCATTACCTGCAGCACCCATCTCAGGCACTAACCCCATGCTCCAACTTCACTCCCTCCCTACTCTGTTTCCCGACTGCAACTCCTCCTGGAGTCACTTGCTTGGTGGTTGGTGGCAAGGACTTTGGAGTCAGATCACATAAGTCCAAACCACAGCTCTACAGCATACCAGGAGGGAGACCTTGGGTATGCTACTTAGCCACCTGGTCATTCAGTTCCCTATCTGTAAAATGGGGAATTGTGGGTTAATTCATGTAAACCACATAGAACAGTGGCTGGTACCAGAAAGTGCCTTATGTGCTGCTTAATGATAGTTACTATTACTATCATTCCTTCCTGTGGTCATTTAGGCACATGTTTGTGCCTCATCTTAAAAGCAAAGCAAGTCCGGACCTTAATGTTTCAGTGCCTAATTCCCTGAAATAGTTGACCTTGCTCACTAGCTCCACCCTTCACTTCCTGGCCCAGGTCAGCCCAGCTCCTGCCCTTGCTGTTAGGATGATGCTTTCATCAATGGGCAAAAAGCAAGCAGACATCTTCGGACTACTCTTTTGGGACTGGACACAGCCTCTGAAACTGGAAGTAGCTGAAATAGCCCTGTTGCATGTCTTAGCACTTAACTCTCTGGGCTTCTCCTCTGCATGTGCTGTGGGCTGGGTTGCCTACTCTTTTCCCATGATACCCTCTCTCTGCACTACCCTGGCCACTCCCCACAGTGCTCAGGGCCTTATGTTACAGTTGCCATCACCAGACAGGTCATGCCGTTTAACTCCAGTGCAGTGACTGGACTTTATTTTTTTGCTACTGGGTATTGAACCCAGGAGCACTTTATCACTAAACTACATCCTCAGTCCCTTCAATTTTTTATTTTGAAACAGGGTTTCACTAAGATGCTGAGGCTGGTCTCAAACTTGCGATTCTCTTGCCTTAGTCTCTCAGGTCCCTTTGGATCTTAGGCATACACCACCGTGGCCATCCTGACTAAGGCATTTTGATGCCCTGAAATATTTCTGGCTGAGGGTGTTTGTGAGTGGTAGAGCATGTGCTTAGCATGTGCAAAGCCCTGGGTTCTTCAATCCCCAGCACACAAATAAAAGAAATGTGAATAAATGAGTGAACCAACAAACAAAAGAATTAACACTGGGGATAGAAGAAAAGAGAGAACGGAACAGAGGGAAGCCTGGTGCCCTGACCCCCCAGGATAAGGGGAAGAAGGAGAGGCAGCAGGAAGTTGGGCAGAAGATGGGGCAAGAAGAAGATGCCTCTGGATTTTGGTCCTGTGGAGTGTGAGGGCGTTTGAGACACAGAACTGGAGCAGGAGCCCCAGGAGTGGAGCCAGTGAGAGAGGCTGGTCTGGGTGCCTCAGAGCTGTTGAACTCTATTCATGTCTGACAGGATTTCACGTGAGGGGAAGAAGGTATCCAATCCTAGTTCCTCATAGTGGAGAATAGAGTTGAAGATCAAAGTCTTCCTGTGTGGGCCTTGGGAAAGCTGGGGTGGACAGAGGTGCTGCTGGGCCACTTCCCATTCTGACAGAATATTTACTAAGACTCATGAGCTGGGCTGAGATTCAACCTGGTCTGGGAGGAGGAGGAGGTGAGGCTAAAAGATGAGGTGGGGAGAAGGGGAAAGAAGAATAAGGGAGAGCAGAAACCAGTCAGTGTCCAGGGGAGGACTTGACCTTTGAGCTTGACATTTACTGTGTTGTGTACTGAAGGTCTTCAGCCCAGATTTTCCTGGGCCATCTGATTTTTGATTAGGAAAATATAACTGGGCCTCCCTGCTGTCACTGCCCTCCCAGATAGTGAAATTCAATGAAGGCACATTTTTAGAAAAAAAAATAGAGGTGGGAAGTGAAGTGGGAGTGGGGTGGTGACACTGTCTTTGGAGCAGTTGAGCAGCACGAGGAAGATCTTAAAAGGTATCTGGAAGGACGGGTGAGAGGAAAGGTGTGGCCAATGGAGACAGAGCCAGGATCCTGCACAGGGAGGCACAAGGGATGAGGAGCCCTGGGAAGGCAGGAGAGGTGGGTGCTGGGTCAGCACTGTCTGGGGAGAGCTGCTCACAAGTGGGTCCAGGGAGGTCACTCCTTCTAGGAGCTCAGGAAGGCAGGAGGCCCTGGGTCACTCTTGGGCTCCCCTGCCCTTGGAGTCTTGCCACAGACCTGTGTTGAGCCCTTACTTAGCTGACCAACTTAGAGAGGGTCACTGGGAGATGGTCTTGCCCAGTCCTGCTGGTTCTGAGCTCCTCTTCCGATCCCCATCTCCCTCCAGGGCCAGTTCCTTCAGGGGGACAACCCCTTTGACCAGGGTTGTGCCAGGAACTGCTATATCACTCTCTGTGCACTGCTGGGACCCAGGTGAGTTGATAAACCAAGGGCTCAAGTGGCAGACCCTAGGGCTGGTGGGGTGGGATGAAGCTGGGTTTTCTCCTTTGTCCCTTACCCCAGTTCCCAGGCCCTGTCACTAACTGTTCCTTTCCTTTGGGGTTTTCTCCAGGGCACTCTGGGAGCCTCTGGGAACTTCCCTCTTCATTGCCCTTCTAGTTCTTGCCCCAAGAAATGGGGTAGGGGGAACTGCAGTTGGGATAAGGCTCCTGGATGAGAGCCCTGGGCTCTGTGCTTTCCAAGCTGGGGGTGAGAGTGGTCAGGGAGATCAGGCCAAGTTGGGTTCTGACCCCTTGCATTTGTCTGTCTTGCCCCAGGTACATGTCTGCAGCTATCTGGATGCAGAGGGAGGAAGGCACAGAGTGGGACTCTGTGCACGTGGACCCTGTGGACACACTGTTCTCGCCATGATACTCCCCTCAACACCATCCCACAGAGCTCCCCAGGCCCAGGTCTCCAACTGTGGGTTTGTACACACCTGGGCAGGGCCCTCCAGGGAGTGGCGAGGCTGCAGCTTTCCAGGAAGTGAGGAGTAACAGGTGTGCATTTGGAGAGGGTGTCTGTGGGTAGCTTATGTGTTGGGGGGAAACCCCTGAGGTGGGGCTGACCCTGAAGCTGAAGCAATTGGAGCTTAAGGAGTGGGATTATAGATCTGGAGGGTGCAGGATCCAGGTCACAGGGCTTCAGAGCATAACCAGGTGTCCCTGGAGAGAAAAGATTGCACTGCTAACTTTCTAGTTGGCCTTGGGCCAGTCCCTTACCTTCTGGGCCTCAGTTTCTTCAGCTATTAATGAGGACTGAGACTATCTAATCCTCATTAACAGTTTATAATGTTTTAAAAGATATTTTTATCCATTATTAATTAAGTAAAAATTTCCATAATTTTTACTTGAAGTTCCATGTGAAAAATACTGAGTGGATCATAGGAGTGCAGGGGGTTAAGTAACCCACAATGCCCTCAAGGGTCCTTGCAGGGACTTGTGGTGCCAGCTCTCTCCTTTGTCCTGTCTCCAGGGGTCCAGGGGCTTGACTGTGAGCCTCAGGGTTGAGGTCAAGGAGAGCCCCATATACTGACTCTGTGTTTAGCTTCCCATCAGCCCAGTGCTGCAGCGGGAGGCTTCCAGGGGAGGTACAGCCTTCCATTCATCCCTTAACAGCCAGCGATACCAGGATGTGCATGGGAACTTCATCCCCTGAGCTCAACATGGAGACCTCTCAGGCCTGAGCCCTCACTCACTTCCCTTTTGGGAGTGCCAAGACCCCCATGCCTGTGAAATCTTCATAAATGAAAGAAGATATTTGAGTGGAGACTCTTAGGTGATTTCATTAGTGAATATTTTGTGTTATGGTTTGTGTATGTTTAACGTGGTACTAGGGATTCAACCCAGGGCCTTGTCTCGTGTGCTGAGCAAGAACTTTATCACTGACTATACTGCCAGTCCTTGTATGGTGTTTTGTTAATAACTCTATGGATTCAGATGATGACAAGTAAGAACGCAAAAAACTCCTTGTATTTGAAAACTACAAAAACAAAACAAAACAAAAAAACTGGTGCTAAAATCAATACACTAATGAAACAAAATGTCCACACACAGACTCTAGAGATCAATATGAAGAATGTTTACTGGGAATGATTTGGGGACAAAGACCCCTGGAAGAAAGGGAAGGGGAAGGGAAGATGCAAGACTGAGCAAAGGGGAGTCACCTGAGGTAGGGGCCCAACAAAAGCTCAGCAAACCCAAAGGTCACATGGCCCTTCAAAATTGTCCTGCTTTGAGGCAAAGTGGCTGGGCCTGTATGCCTGTAGTGACCACTCCTTGGATACAATCTGACCCTGGAAGGAGGGGAGGCAGGACCCAGATTTGGGGCTATCTCCCACCCACACTCCAGCAGCTGGGTGGGTAAGTTCTTCATTCCTGGAGGGGAATCTGGGAGGCACCTCACAGGGTCCGCTCTGCAGATCTTAGTGTATATGAAGAACTTGGTGTCTGTTTAAGTGTTGGTCATGAATCCGGGAAATGAAATCTACTTGATAAGTGATGCTGGAACCATTGATTGTAACCATGGGGAACACACATGGATTAGAGTGTTATCTTATCCAACATTAATTTCAGATAAAGAATTGAAAGAAAAAGGAAACAATATACCTACTACTTATCAGCTTGAAGGAGAGGGAAACAAAGGTAAACTTAGAGGCTGCCAATAAAATGCTTACTAGATTTTATTACCTAAAACAAATATTTTACATTCAAATTTTCACAAAAATTGCAAGGCAAACAACAAAACTGAGAACATGTTTGCAATAAACACACCGAAAACATTAATGTCTATTAATTTATATTTTTCAGTTTTGTCAAATCTGTTGAACTATCTCTGCTACAATAAATATATTTTTTTATTTCTAGCATTTCTTTTCAGATGCTCTTCAATAGATGAATGGATAAAGACAATGTGGTACATATACACAATGGAATATTACTTAGCTTTAAAGAATAATGAAATTATGGCATTTGCAGGTAAATGGATGGAGCTGGAGAATATCATGGTGAGCAAAATAATCCAAACTCCCAAAAACAAAGACTGAATGTTTTCTCTGATAAGTGGATGCTGATCCATAATGGTGGGGGGAGTGAAGAATGAAGGAACTTTGGATTGTGCAGAGGGGAATGGAAAGAGGGGAGGAGCTATGGAGACGGAAAGGATGGTGGAATGAGATAGAATTATTAACCTATATACACGTATGATTACACTACTGGTGTGACTGTACCATGTGCAGCCAGAGGAATGAGAAGTTGTGCTCCATTGGTGTACAATGTGTCAAAATGCATTCTACTGTCATGTATAATTAATTATAACAAATTTAAAAAAACAACTGGAAATAAAAATAAAAATCATTTTTCTTGGTTCATAGCTGTTACACAAACTGAATATGGTTTTTTAAAAATGTTTTTTAGTTGTTGATGGACCTTTATTTTATTTATCTGTGTGTGGTGCTGAGAATCAAATCCAGTGCCTCACGCGTGCTAGGCAAGTGCACTACCACTGAGCCACAACCCCAGCCCCCTGAATATGTTTTTGCTCTGTTAATTTCATCTTATATTTTCCTTGTGAACTTTATAACTGTTGCCTATTAGTGTTTTGCAGAGGTACTGCTTCTAATAAAACAACCTGAGTTAATTTGAGATAATAAGCCATCATCTATAGGACAGATAGGATGTAATGCTGACTTACAGTACTAATACTGACCCCAATTAAATGAAAGGAACAACTGTAAAATTATAGCTATTGAAGTTATAACCTGTTACTCCCACTTTAAGACTGGTGATACTGGCCTTCTGGATGTTTAGAACCAAAAACTTGGAGACCAAAGTCAAGGAAGTAAAAGGGCCAGGAAAAAGGAGCCAACATTTTGGCTTTTGCCCTCTAAGGTCAGCCAGGATGTAGAGAATGACAGGACCCCTCTTTGGTCCCTGCAAGTCCATTGAACCACCTAATCTGCTGATTAGGGAGATTGAGAGGACCCTAGAGAACAGGAAGCCAACCAGGGTATATTCTGCAAAGAGGAGGGTCATTGGAGAAGGAAATGTACTTAATGCTTCCAAGAGAAGGAATGTATGGTTAGCAAGACACTTACCCATCCTGGCAGGTAGCACCATGGGTAAGGGAAAGCTAAAGGAGACAAAAGTCTTCACAAAAGTCCCCAAGCTTTTGTTGAGGAATCTCAGCTGACTGAGCTTAGGCTATACTCTCCTGCCAGGTGTTTAGAGAGTATAGCCTAAGCTAAGTTCTACATGGATATTTAAAAGGAAAAACAATGGATTTTTAAATGTAACTTAAGACATACACTTGTGTCAGCCCTACCAAAAGTAAGTAAGCTGGAGGCTACAGATGAAGGGTCCTTGTGTTGTTGTAGGGACAAACAGGCAAGGCACCGAAGATAGCAGGAAACAGTTTTATTTAGCTTCAGCCAGGTTCAGAGGGCACAGCTTTTGCTGTAATCAATCAATCCCCTGAACCTTGAGTTCAGGTAGTTTCAGAATTTTATACCCAGCATGTAAGGGGAGGGGCTCAGAAGTTCCCAGTATGCAGAAGTTCACATAAAAGCAGCTTTTTCTTTCACTGTTCTGGGCAAGTTAACCCTTCAAAGACAACACCTGAGAAGGGGAGAGCTTCTTCTCCCCTCTCTTTCCTCCCCCTGCCAGCTGTTACTATGGAATCCAATTGGTAACTTCTCTTATCATAGAAATGCAGACATCTCATTGAAGCTCCAGCTCAAGGCCAGAGGCCTTGTTCACACATTTCTACAAAGTACTATACTGGATACATTTGTGAAAAACTAGTAAGAGGGTGTCCAGTTCCTGGAGTACTGATTTCTTCTCAGCCAGTGGTCAAGTAAAACAGGGCAACATGAAAATTGGAAGTTTATCTGCATTGAACTCTTTTGTAGAGACTCTTTTGCTGACAGTCCTAAAATTAGCCATGGTGAAGATTTCTGGAGAAGCCCAGTTAAGACTTTTCTGTGGAGAAAGGGGGTGCCACTACAGTGTGAGAGTGCCTAATAATAATGATCACAAAGGACTCTAAAGTCATAAGTTTGTCCTGAGTTAATTTGAGCCTGATCCTACAGACCTACAAATCTTCCTAATCTCATACATTGATAAAATTGATCTGTTTTCCACTGATATGATTATGAGTTACTGTCCTCATGATTTTCAGAGATTGGCTGAAATACTGATTGCTTTTGTGCTAATTGTTTATATATAAAAAAAAAAAAGTAATGTCTTGTTATCTTGTTTATTGTTGTCTTAGCATGATCCCTACCCCATGTATGTCTTGTCCAATCATCTGCCATCTGCCACTGTGGACTTCTGAAATGCTCTGATGCTGAATACCCTTACCTGTCCACGTCCTACCTGATGGAAAACAAGGACTTTGGTTACTGCCCCTAATTTTGTCCTCTTTCAGCAGAAAGCAGCTTGGAGATGTCATCACCCATTTTTTCCATAGAAATGGAATATAGAAATTGGCAGTGGGGAAATGTAACAGTGGTTCACTTTATGATTTGAATATAGCCCTTGCTTCTCTGCCACTGTAACTTATTTTTTAAATGTACATGTTTCTTTCTCTTCCTCTCTCCCTGCTCTTCCCTAATCTTTTATTATTATAATCTTTTATTACGGATTATCTTCCCCATTTTAGGCAGATTTATCTGTCCTTGAGAATACACCTACCATGAATGAAGTAATCCAGACTTTGGGGATGGTACCAGAAGATCTCAGAAATGACTATCTCCCAAATCAACAAGTGAATTACAATTCCAACAGAGAACACATGGAATGTAGCCTTTGAATCACCTCTTTGCATCCCCTGTTATCCTTGATGGGCAGAATCTCAGCCTCTGGGACAGGAGTCCCCTGTGATTCTCCTTTATTAGCAAAATAATAAACCTTCTTTTTCCTTTTTCTCAAAACTGTGTCCTTGTTATTGGAACACACACACACACACACACACACACTGTTCTGAACTTTGATACTTATTTTCTTTCTTTCTTTCCTTCTTTCTTCTTCTTTTTTTTTTTTTTTTTTTGGTACCAAAGATTGAACCCAGAGGCACTTAACAACTGAGTCACATCTTCATCCCTTTTTATATTTTGAGACAGGGTCTTGCTAAGATGCTGAAGCTGGCCTCAAACTTGTTATTCCTGTCTTCACTTCCCAAGGTGTTGGAATTACAGGCATGCACCACCGTACCCAGGTGACACTTTTTCATACTACAGTATATCTTTGATGTCTTTCTTTGTCTCTTCATACATTTTGTCAACAGCTGGGGTCCAAGGAGTTTCCAGAAGGGAGAAAGGAAACTCTACTCAGTCCTGGCAGGTTCTTCACTTACACCAGTGAGAGGAATTTCAGGATGAGTCAAAACAAAACAAAACAACAACAACAAAACAAAACAAACAAACAAACAAAAAAAACACAAGGAGAGCCTTATTTAGGAAAGCAAGGAGATTTATTCAGGAAAGTAAACAATAGAGCGGGTTATGCAGGCAAAGGGAGTACAGGTGCTAGAGAAGGAGGATGCATGGGGATCTCAGCCTTCTTTCTGAGGAAACTTTATAAATGGTGAACATGAGAATTATAATGGCTGGTGTCAGCCTCAGGAATTTGATTCCTTTGATTGTGGCCTGGTTCTTAGGATCTTCAGGTCGATGTTAATAGACTGTACCCATATCATGGATCTCTAACAATGTTTCTCTCTAGATTACCTTTAATTAGTCTAAAAACACATCTGGAAGCAAACAAGGTATATAGACCCTAGTTAACCTGACTTAGAGTGCTCTAAGATTTATTGGACCTTTTAAGAATTTAGGGCTAGAGGAAAATAGGCCTGAGGGGTAGATGAAGGTGGGGTTTTTAGATTTAAAGCTATAGGGACAGCAGATGTAGCTCAGCAATGGAGTGCTTGTCTAGCATGCTCAAGGCCCTAGCTCCATCCCCAAGGCACTAGGTGGATTAAAGCTATAGGCTCCCTTTCTGTCCTTGTCTCCTTTCTACCTGTCCTACCTCAATTTGATGTCTTTTTTGTTGTTGTTGTTCAACAACTGAGCTAATTCCCAGCCCTTTACTAATATTTACTTTGAGACAGGGTCTAGCCTTGAACTTGTGATCTTCCTGCATTGACTTTTTTTTAAAGCATTTTTTAAATTTATTTTTTAGTTGTAGTTGGACACAATACATTTATTTATTTATTTATTTATTTATTTATTTATTTATATGTGGTGCTGAAGATCGAACCCAGGGCCTCACTCAAGCTAGGTGAGCTTTCTACCTTTGAACCACCACCCCAGCCCCTTTCTGCATTTACTTCTTTGGAATCAATTTGCCAAGTTTTCCTCTTTAACCTCCTCAAGCTATACTAAATTCTAGATGAACACAGAGGAGAAAAAAAAATCCATCTTTTACAATGTTGCTTTTCTATCTAACCTGATACATCTTCTTTAAGTCATGTTTCATGTCTTTCAGTTACAATAGTTTTCTCCATAATTACTCTACATTTTTTGTTCTCTAGATACCTTTAGTTTTGTTGTTATTGTGATATGTATGATTTTTTTACTGTTGTATTTTCTTTCTTTTTTTGCAACTTTTTTATTTTTATTTTTTGCAGTCCTGAGAATCCAACCTAAGGCCTTGCACATGCTAGGCAAGCGCCCTACTGATAGGTCACACACAGATGTGAGCAGAGGGAACTTGAGATTAAGGGGATAATTCTATAAAGTGGGCCTACTATGCTGATCCCTACAGGATTTCTTTTTAAAAGCAATTTATCTGTCGGCCTATCCTGTTTTAAGTCAATACAATATGAAACATTCTTCAGCAAACAACCTGTTATCTGCAATAGAAATGCAGACCTGAATGGCTTTTCCCTGATGAATACAAGAACAACACAGGTTATCCTGAAGAAGGGAACTTTTGTGACCTTTAAGCAGACCAGACTTCAGGACTCAGACAGATAGGATAATTAAAAGCAAAGCCTCCCCGCTATCCATAAAATCTGTAAGAACAAGTTCCAAATAGAACTGGGTCAGTGGGGACCAAGCTGACTCAGCCTTGGATCTTTAGCATGTTATTATAATGATAAAATCTTTCCTCCATGGGGTAAGACCATGAGCAGTTTGGACTTGAAAGTCTGATGCAATCCTGCTGTCAGAAGTCAACCTGGGCAGTTTCTCTGGAAACTTCCCTGGGACCCCCAGTAAAACAGAAGTCCAGGAGATAGACATTGTCCCTCTCCTCTCTGGGGGGACCCACTTTGTCCCTTGAAAGACTCTCCTTTTCCTATCTCTTCTAATAAACTCATGCCTGTGACTATGTGCAACTCACCTGAAACCTTCTGGCATTTCTGCAAGAGTCAGTAACTGAGAATATACGCAGTCTCTTAGGCTCTGTGAAAGGCCTTGCTCTGCAACACCCCCACTGAGCTCCATCCTCAGCCCCTACCACTATAGTTCCTGAACAGAAAGGCTATTAATTTTCTCCCCAAATGTGTCTTGTATGCAACCAACTTGCTGAACTCTATTATTCTTTTGATCATTTTATGTAATCATCCCAACTAATCTAGGTTAATAATGAGTATGCCTGCAGCAGTAGCAGTTTAAAGTTTTTAAAATTAATACTTCATTTCTTTTCTTGCCTTTTGGCCTCACCATTGCATTGTCTGGATGCAGTGTCCATGGTACCCTGGTGGACATGACTTTGGACTCTGCCTTCCAGCTTCATGCCTCCCAACATGGTGAAGCTCTATTATTTTGTGTAGGGGCACATTCCCCGAGGCAGCCTCACATCTTCTCACGCTGCCAGTTCTGCCTTTTCTTCTACTTTGGCCAGGGCTGGAAGACTAGGCTGGTTAACTTGGTGGTCTTCTGTTTCCAGCTCACCCCTCCTCCTATGGTACATACCCTCATGACCTTTCCTTTCCTTGTCTCTTCTCTAATTGACCTACCAGGATCCCATCCTGTGTCCTGTGTCCTTCAACACACTGGATCTAACCTAGAGATTGGAGAGGAAATAGAGTGTTGTGACAGGTAAGACAAATTCCTCCTGCCCTGGAGGCTGGCTTCAGACCCTGGTGACGTAGGGGGATAGAGAGCAAGAAGAGCTTCCAGGAACCCAGGCCACATGTGGCCCGCCGGCCAGTCTGTGGAGTCTTAGGATAAACTCTTCCTACCACTGACCTTGTTTTCATGAGAACATACAAAACTGCTCACACCAAATTCTAAAATTCTATGAAGTGAGAAAGCCAATCACTTTTTACAGGTGTTGGAATCACAAGTCCCTGTCATGCTTAGTCCTTTGGGGACTAGAAACCCTTAGTCCATCTCAGGAAGTCACCAGCTCCAAGGCACTATTAGACAGGGTAACTGGCCAGGGCTTCCAAACAAAGACATGCATGGTTTCCTAACCTTGTGAATCTGAGGTGACTTGCGAGCAGGGAGGACACCACTATGGACAAATTCAGGAGACAACTTCCCAGCCTCAGCCCTTCAGACTCTGTGTGTTTCTACACTCTCTGACTGTCCACTTGGGCTTCTGACTTGGGCCAGGCTTACCTCCTGTTCACAGTGTGTGTCTCTGACTACATCAGAGTCTTCTCTAGTGATTTGCTCTTATGCAGGACCTGGAGCCCCACATGAGCTGCCCCAACAGTGTGGTCCTTCCTCCAGGCTGGCCTGCAATGCTGGCTACTGAGGTCTGGACCAGGCAGCTCGATGCCCATGTGAGGAGTGAAAAGGAGGACATGTGAGTGATTGGGAAGCAGAGAAGGGAGGGGAAGGGATGTCAGTAGCTAAAGGAAACACTTGTAAAGAAAATGGCTAATGACAAAGCTGACAGACAATAATGAAAGACAAAGGGGTGATGCTAAAAAACAATCATACTCCCTTTGATTTTTTGAAAATTTCTTTCCCTCTTTTCCCCAATTAACCAAACATCACAGTCTGGGGGATACCTGGAAAGGCCCCATCTTTAAAACATCTCTTCTAAGGACCAGGAATTCTGCCATTTGAAACTCTTTTCCTTGGGTCATGAAGACTTTTTGATCTTTGAGATTCTTTTATAAAGCGTTGATATGCATCCAGTGACCTCTTGAACAAAGACCAAGAAACTTGGATAAAACTTCCATATTCTCATGTCCTGCTGCTCACCCGCCTCCTGCCCCATCTCCAGTACCCAAGACTCACTTGGCTCCCTTGGACCACACCTATTTCCTGACCCTCTGGGCCTTTTCACACCTAAGGAACATAATTTTGCTGTTCCCTATGTTTAGGTCACTTATTTTAACCTGTCTAAATTCTACCTCCTCATCACCTAGGAACTATTTCTACCAAAAATATTTAACTTGAATCCAGTCATGAGGAAATTATCTGACAAATCCAAATTTGGAGACATTTTACAAAACAATGGTTTGAACTCAGTAAACTATCAATGTCATGAAAGATCCTCCTATACACCCTGGAGGAGGCAGGGTACTGTTTAGATAATAGAAAACTGAAGAGCCATAGTAACTAAGTGCAGTCCTGATCTTTGATTCCTGCCCTGTAAAGGGCATTATGTGAACAAATGAAGGAATTTGAATAACATTAATTAAATAATATTGTTATCAAAATTAAATTTCTTGAATATGACAA